ACAGCACATCTCTAAACCTCCAAACCTCCGCCCTGGATACTCTGCCTAGCGAATTGCAAGCGGCACACACCCATCTGACAACCACCCTAACCACCCTCCTCTCCACACACTCATCCCTCCTCAGCACAAGCATCAAAATCCTCGAGCAAACCCAACAAGGCGCTCTAGCCCGCCACACAAAATCTTCCGCCGAGCTCCTGCAGACAAAAGCCATCTTACTCGGTCTGCAAGCTAAAACGCACTCCTTGCTGCACCCCCCGCCTGCGGAGTTTGTCGATGCATTGAAGGAATTTAGGAAAGGGTTGGGTGGGGGTAAGAGGGCGCTTTGGGATCGCGAGGCGTTGGCTCGACGAGAATTGGAATTGTATGGAAAGGCCGGGGAGAAGGGGATGAGGGACTTGGCGAAGAGGAAGGAGGGGTTACACAAAGAGGCAGAGAGGGTCGAGGCCGAGATAAAGAAGTTGGAGAAAGGGCAGTGATGGGATGAAGTTTTGGTGACGAGGGGGTTTGGCTTCACGGGACCGGGTCTTGTTGTATGCTTGTTTGATTGAACGCTGTATTCGATGATCGCGCTCGATCAGGTTGTGTATAGAAGCGTACCGAAACAGCATACGCCATCAATGCTTCAATATAAACTCTATGCTCAACGCCGGCGACACTAAAAACCGCACTCAAACAGCGCCTGAGAACAGATCTTCCAGGTCTCCTAACCGCGTAGCAATATCTATGTTACAATTTCAAACATAGAATATATCCAAGCGAAGGCGTAACTATCACCTTCCTATGGAAAAGCCTGGGCGTCGGGCGTAACGGCCAGTCTGTCGAAGTCGACGTCGAGTTCGGGTATGCCTTCTTTGCGCTTCGGCGTCAGACGGATCCTCGGCATCACTTTGACATGGGAAGCAAAGTTGAAAAAGAGAGCATAGTATTCTCAAGATAAGAGTCACACTAAGGAAGTTCGCTCCCAACTTTGTCCAGGTGACGTTTTCATCCAGGATGCCATTGACCTCGAATCGCGACGATTGACATCCAGCCCATGAACCCCAGGGACCATTCACTTCTCGCACAGTCGCCCCTGCTACTAATGGTATGTACGCATCAGATAAGACGATGCGCGGACATTGACACGGTCTTTCAGTTTCTGAATCTCGGTGTGTTGTAGTTGTCAAGGACACGGGACAGGTGACCGAGATATCGATAACAGTCGCTGAACGCCGATAAAGAATAGGGATGTTGGGAATGAAGGTAAAGATGCGAACTTTTGCGGCCGAAGGTAACAATGACTGTGTGAAGATCGTTGAAGTACCACTTGAAACTAGAGTATCGATGTTTAAAGGACGATAGGAACGATGTGATAGTTGGAACGGCAATACGTGAACTGATGCCTTCCTTCTTCGAAGCTTCCCCAGGGGAAAGCGGTGGCTTCAGCGGGCTTCTTGAGGAGGTTGATGACGGTGACGAATTGGCTTGTTCCGAAAGGTCTTTCCCTTGATGCTGCTCATGCCCGACTGCTCATGCTCGATGCAACAACGGGACGCAGGGCCGATGTTGAGAGGGGAAGGAGGGCCGACGTAGGACTATAGCCTTCGTCGGCTTATTGTTCATGAGGCCAAGAGCTTGGAAAATAATTGGGGTCAAGTATGCCGATCAGATATTCGAGTGCGTCTTCTTCGTCACCGTTGGAGATTTGACGGGCAATCTTGACCTCTCTTTAGCATGTATATCGGGTGGCTCAGCAAGAAAGGCCAACAGTGTGAACGTTTGCGAGGGCGTAGTAATGGTATTATCGATTTGTTATAAGAACGTTCTTGAATAATGGCGATGATGATAGAAAGGAATAGTTGATGATGAGAATGAGGACCGTCCTGGAGGGAAAATATCAAGAATATGGCAATACGGTGGCGGGACGCTGGAATATTGAAGTTGGCTTCTGATAACAGTATAATAGACGGATAGTATGTACCTCGAGTGTCGCGGATGAGACAAGGGGCATCAGCGCAGCGGTAGCAACGAGGCTACCGAAAGCTACTGCGAGATAGCGAGAACGAATCATCGAATTCAATAGGATCAACTCCCAGAGTCGTGTGATACGTTGTGTGCTAACATGGATGTTGTTTGAGCGTCTCGGTGGGGAATGAGGATGAGTCGAATAGCGATGGCCTGTTGAGGATACTGTATACATGTGTCGAACAATGGTGATGAATGGGAGTAGAAATGGAGTAATGATACTAGGAAATAGTCAATAAGGCATCGCGAAGCTCCAGAACAGGAGACATGCTGTTGTGGCGATGAGGCCGGCGAGACATGCGCGGAACATGGAGTCGACTAGAAAATGCACTGGAAGGATCGGACTTCCTCGAAGTTGGGCCTTTATTGAGGGCGATATTGCCGGGTATTTAGTGTCCGCCATTCGTCATGTTGGAATTTGAATTGGATGTTATGGTCGGTTTTTATTCCACGGCTGCCAGCTCGCACCCTCGTGCCGCCAGTCTCGGTTAGGGCGCTTTGCTTGCATTCCCAGTTCGCGGTGTCGAAGTTGACGACGATCATGGGTCGATAGAGCGCGGTTGCACTGCGAGTATCTGACCTCTAACTGCTGTTTTAAACGATCGACCAGGTTTTCGGATTTCCGCTAGGGCAGCGTTGCCGATGCAAGATTGATCTGAGATAGAGGATGAATGAGGTAGAGATGTTGTAATGATACTAAGAGTCGGTTAGTAAGGTGTCCTGAGGCTATAAAGAAGAGATATACCGTTGCAGCAATGTTTCCTATAAGAGCTGGCTAAGCAGCTCGAGGCAGAGTCCGCTCCGTACATGCTGTACTTATCCTGGGCACGGCTGCACTTCCGGGGCTTGCTGAATACGCTGAGGCCGTGCTGTGCGTGCTCTCGTCCGTAGCGATGGGGTGATGGCGATGTAGTGACGACATAATAACAATACCGATAGAGTGTTGAGGTATCGATGGTGGGTATGAATGGGATTTGGGAGCAATATATGATGATAGAAGTGAGGACAATTGAGAATGAAGAGAAATAGGTCATATCCCAGAAGAGTGGTATGGAAGAGATGAGATGGAGGAAGAATGGGAGCAAGTAAATAAACAAAGAACGCCATGGGGCATGTGAGGAACGAGCTTGTAGCGTGCTTGACATGTATTATCAAGAAACATGTGTGCACGAGAAGCAGCACATGGCTATCAATCGTCAGTAACGACTCAAACCAGCAATTTGCTGCGCAGGCGCCATGGGACGACAAATCCTCACCAACACACTCGGAAAGAAGTTCAGCATGCCTCATATCAACATCTTGGTCGTAAAATCATCAATTGAAACCTGAATGAAAGCACCAGTCTCTCACTCAATCCCTTTTTCAAGCCCCCTCCAAACCTCCCAAACTCTCAATCCCGCATCTCCACCATTTCACATTCCTACAAAACCTTGAAGCAAACATAGCTCAAGAACTTATCATTCAAATCGCCCTTATCCGTACTCCTCAGATCCGCATTACCGGGCCAGCTCAAGCTGAGGAAATCGGATTCAACGCCAGGAGTCTTGCGGCAGGAGTTGTTGCTATTAGCAAACATGTTAGCTAGAGAGTCGCGAAGAGAGGAAGCTGTTGAATACACACGTGAAGAACTCGCATAGGAAGCCTGGATCGGGTCCGATAGATGATTCTCTGCCGGAGAGTTGTGCGCAGTCAATGTCTGCGCCGCCTGGTTTGGTGACGTGATGCGAACATGCGCCGTTCCAGTTGATGTCGTCGCAGACGTACACACCAGCCACATCCTCAGGCGCGGGAGGCACGGAAGCTGATGGCGCTTCTGGCAACGGCGTGGACAAGGTCGCTGTTACGGTGACCATGGTGGTCGTCATGACGATGTCTGATGCTCTGGGAACAGGAGTCGGAGCAGGGGCGGGCGCAGCAGAAGAGCTCTCGGCGTCGCCTCCAGCGCCTAATAAGTCTCCTAGGCCGCCCAGAGGACCGCCTCCGCCCAGAACATCGCCTCCACCTAGAACGTCGCCGAGGGGGAGGCCTTGTCGCTTTGCAGCTGGATGTGCAGATTCTGGTACGTATTCTGAGGGGATGAAAGGATGACCTGGGCTCGGGGGCAGACTTGCAGCGAGAGTGGTGCTGGTCATGAGGAGGGTGGTGAGGATGGATGTGTACATGATGGACGATTTGCTACTGTCAAAGTAGAGAAGATTGATGGAACTGGAATGTGAATAGGACGCGCGTTGTCTGAAGAAATGATAGAGCTTTTCAGTCTACTTGTACTTCTCGTGGGTTGTACGTCTCGTGGAGGTGAGAGTATCTTTCTTCCCAAAGCAATATGAGACGGCAATTTCTTTTTCTGTGTATCAACTGTCACGACACTTGCTCCCTCCCGGCTCCGTGAGACTCGGCGGGCAGAGTTGTGTAACAAAATGCCTTGTTGCACTGATCACCTGCAGTACGCGACCAGTCTGCACGTAGGTTGCGTGCATCCCTTCGAGGACTTCTGCGGAAACGTAGTCTTCAAAAGTGCGGGTGGTGACTGGGAGGCGCTCGATTATGTGCGCATGAGAGATGCATGTCGACTGAAACGCAACGGCAGTGCTGATTCAAGTCGAGTACAATTGAGCACTTGAGTGCGCATTGTTGATGAGGCGCCGTTTCTGGCACTGGCCCGCTGCGTCGCGGCAACGTCTTTCGCAAGGTGCAACGGCCGGCGGATGGAACGATGAACTTGTAAACAGTCGACTTACTCTATTCTGATAGTAGACAACAATTGGGTACAAGAATACTGACAGGTCCCTCCCGAGTAATGGTATCATATGCGCTCCAATAACGCGACCAAACAAAGCGCTGTAACGCTAACAAGACGCCGCCGCAATGTACCATGCCCAAGACACCGAGAATCTGTGGGTACTCGATAGAGTAGGGGAGGCGCCTGCTACCACGGGTATATGAACAACAACGGGTAATCAAAGCGATCTAGGATATCCCTGAGAGCGAGTGTACTACGCCCCTGATCTCTCGGGTGCTTCTGGTCGGTCCGGCTCGTAGTTTGTCTCGCCCAGTGACTCGGTAGGTCCGGAGACAGAAGGCGCTGACGGAGCAGCGACACTAGGACCCCGAGACGCTGCTGCGTTCAGGCGCTGGTTCAGAGCCTCTAGAGCGAGAGCACGTCTCCTTTCCGCCTCCGCACGAGTGGCTCCTCCTCGACCACCCTTGCTGTTAGGGTTCATGATGCTGGGTAAACCCCCTTCAGCCCGGGCGCTCGCCTGTTCGTTTCCTGCATCGATGTCCTGATCCGAGAAGGGTATGCACACTTTGAGCGATACGAGTGTGTTGTAGATACCGTCGGAGAGGGCGCCAACGGGTGTTTGTATGGGCTCTGGGAAGAAGTGGGCAAACGAGAAGGTATCTGAGGCGTCGCCGCGGATGACAGAGCCGTCGCCAGTTGCAGTGGACGATAGTGATGGGCTTATGCGGTAGAAGCGGAGGTAGATCCAGGCAGTGAAGAAGCCGAAGTAGGCCAGAAACATGGCCGTCTCAGTACCCAGTATTATGCCGGAGATTGTGTTTGTGAGGAGAAAGATGGCAGGGAAGTGCTTGACGCGCATGCGGATGAGGCCCTTTGCGATGGCAACGGTGTGTTCGGGGACGAGCTGCTTGAAGGAGACGAGGAAGCCGGCCTGGATGGCAATGCCACCAGAGATGGTCGTGCGCCTATGCTTGGTCAGTACGGTGCATGGGATGAAAGCCGAGTACACACATCAAAGAGGTCTTGCCCATGACCAGGTAGCCCACGATGTAGAGCAGATAGGCGAGGATGTTGGGGATCATGGCCACGAAGAGCATGAACTTGGTGAACTCGTGAGACCCCCACGCTCTTTCCAGGTAGCGTCCGCCATAGAAGACGGTGAGTCCGGTGGTGATGAGGCCGAGGAGGTTCTGCTCCACCACTGTCGCCAGCGCAAAGACCCAAGGATACCACGGCACCGAATAGCGGGGGACGATGGTAAGCCACGGGACGCCATTTCCCACGCCGATGATTGGCTTCTCGATCTTTTCTACCAGGTTGGCGTTGGGTCGCAGTGCGAAATTTATCAGCGTAAAGAATACGACGGCCGCCAGCACGCCCCGAGTGAGCGGGGGAAGGTTGATGCGCGCCATGGTGGGAGAATGCGGCGTCTGGAGGCGGGAGGTGAGGAGGTCGGGTGTCCTTCACTTATCGGCCCGGGCAGGTCCAGACGGGCGGAGGAGGAGTCGAGGGTGAATTGAGCATGCAGGCGTGGAGTGTCTGCATGTGTTGCCGGCAGGGATCATGAACGACGCTCGGACGGAGATCTTGTGGGGACTAGCGGCCGCCAGAGTGCTGAGTAGTTGCAGGTAGCCTTCGATCCTCCTACAAGCTCGACGACGACCACCACCACGAATCGCGCACCCAGCACGCCCCGCCTATCCCCGACCCTACGCACTCTGCTCCCCGGCGCATGCAGCGCGTACAGGATGCGCCATGGCGGAGACTCTCAGCAGCAACGCGATGAACTATCTCGGTACACCTCCCCAGCCCACGCCTCTGTTGGCCTGCATGACTGACGTCTAGGTGCAGTATGGCGATATCTTCAGGAGGCCGGATTCGGTAATGCCGCCCTGCAACTCTCGCGATGCTGGATCCGCGACCCCGACACGCTGCCCTTTGCGAAGAACATCGAGCAGCACGCTCTCATCAGGCTCGTGCAGGACGGCCTGTGCTTCGACCAGCTGCAGGCCGAGGCTTGCAACGTACGTCGCATACACGCGCGCGGGAAGCTGGTACTGACGAGCGCAGACGGAGCCGCGCTACAAGTTCGGCAGCGACCACGGACGACCCTATTCGGCGCGCAATGGCAACCTCTTGACCCTCGACAAGGGCATTCCCGCACACGAACTCGCTGCCGAGGCCAACGGCGCTGTCCAAGAACCTCCGCCCAAGAAGACGCTCAAGCGCAAGAAGACGAAGCCCACGAATGGCGTCGAGCCGCGCCCCGAGCCCGAAGTCAACGGCGATGCCATGGAAATCGAGCACAACGGCACCACCCATGTGACCAACAGCGTGCGCGCTGAGTCGGAGCCCATGGTCTCGGAAGCCGAGTCGCCCTCGCTTGCCGATATTCCCATATCCACGCTCAGCATCGGCCAGGACGCTGAGATCCAGACTGAGGCCATCGCTGTGGCTGATCTCACCCCCGGCATCGTCTCCATCCCTCCACCATCGGATCCTGCATGCCTCATTGAGCACACACTATGGGGGCCTATAGACTCCCCTGTACTGCTCGCAGCCGGCAAATCCCTACTCCAAGTCCACGTTGTGAGCAAAGAACCTGGCCATGGACCCCCTACCCAGCATTTCGACATACCCTTACCCGTCGACAACTTCGACGTCACCGCCCTGTGCTGGCATTCCGACAACGAACTCACCGTCTCTGTGCGGGAACAGCGATCCAACGAAGTCGGCGAGAAGATGATGATGGACAAGCTCATCAAGCTGACCGAAGGCGGCCAAGCCTCGCAGGTCATCTCCTCCACTGCCGGCCTTATCAACACGCTTCGCTGGAACCCCGAACGAAACTTGCTGCTCTCGATATCGACAGATGGCGAAAAGGGCTCCATCAAGGTGTGGAAGAACGATAGCGACTCTATACCCGCATGGACCGAGTTCACCGATACGGCCATTTTCGACGCCCACTGGATAAGCGACTCTGCTTTTGTCGTTTGTGGTATCAAACTTTTCAAGATCTACCAAGTCAACGACTCCTTGACTACTCAGCAAACCCTCGACACTTCAGTAACATGGGAGACAGTCAAGTATGACGCCGCATCTAGGATCATCGCCGTACTGGGTATCGAAGACCGGAAGTACTATCTCGGCATTCTCCACCCCAACGACTCGATACAATTACAGGTCCACGAATATCCCGATGAGTACCCTACCGATCTCAGCTTCCGCGTAAAATCAAAGACTAGTCATCTCACGAATGGTTCTTCGTTGCCCTCTGTTTTGCTTGCAACAAGCTCCATGGCTGGTGCAGCACGCATTTGGGACGCAAATGAACCCTTCAAATGCGTCAAATACCTACCCACCACGGACGGTACTCAGGCCTTCAAGATCGCTTTCTCTCCAGACGGGACGCTCTTAGCAGCTGCGGGTCCCGATGCTGTCACTGTCTGGGACGTAGAAAAGAGGGATGCCCCGATAGCCTCGTGGCGCGCCAGTGAAACTCCCATGGACAAATGGAACCCTGGCATAGATGGAGAGTACAGTCTTGGTTGGGAGCCAGATAGTTCCAGGTTATCGATTGCTCTTGGAAATCAGGTATGCAGAATGCGCACAGGACATGTTCAACTACTTACACTACTATAGATTGCTATCATCACGGTTCCGCGGTAGTACCAGGGATCGTCCTTGAGACAAACTCAACTGCAGCTCTTTGGCAGCTATCGCGCAGCTCATCGCAGAGAGGACTATGGGCCTCACACAGCTACAGCTGTATTGCACAGGAAAAGAAGAAAGTACACCGAGCCGAATGCGCAAGTCTTTGCGGGGACATTCCGCGGATGCAAAGTCACGAGCGCGTTGCGGGACGCATGTGGAGTCCGGGGTGGCGCCCCCGACAGATGCGGAGTCCGTCGCGCTCTGATAGGCTAGTCCTTGGGGTCAGGCTGTTTACCGTGTGTTGAACCCGGCTGTTTAACCTGGTCCACATCTTGACGTCTCGCTAACAGACTAACGTTGGGCCTATTGCTTCGGCAATTGCATCAAAGGCCAACCCTGATGATGATGAGGGGCGTAGGTGGCCGTACTTATCACGGTTCGCTGTCGCCATTTTGCGGCCGACATCTTCCGGAATCCTCTTTTGTCCTATTGTATACTACCTACGCTGGCCAGTGTAGCCTCTGAATAGACCACATAATTTGGATACACGTCGCGCGACTACCTTTGCTGTGCAGCTCCCTCTTCCTTGACGATGTCAGCGATACCTAATCTCCCTACCGATGCGCCCGGCCTTCATTTGAATGGCGACACAAATGGGGTCGCGGCGAAGCCGCCTTTCAAACTCAACGATGCACCAGTAGAAAACTTGCGACGTCTGAGAGTGGTTGTTATTGGCGCTGGGTACTCGGGCATCTATTGTGGCATTCGCATACCAGAGCGACTGAGGAACGTCGATCTTGTCATCTATGAGAAGAATGCTGGCGTTGGAGGTACCTGGTACGAGAACAGGTAAGCGATCCTTATTCGACAGAGCAAGGCTCAATGCGAGTCGCAGCTACAGCACCGCACTTAGTGGATGCCAGTGTTGGCGATACGACGTGTTCAACAGTCTTCATTCCTCACTGTTTCGCAGTGTACCCACTGACTCGATCGCAGATACCTCGGTTGCGCATGCGACGTACCATGTAAGCAAGCTTATTCTTACCACTAAAATTATGGCTAACCTCTCCCAGCACACTCGTATCAGTACACGTTCCAGCCAAACCCGAATTGGTCGTCGCTCTACGCTCCGGCTGCAGAGATTCAATCTTACCTCCAAGACGTAGCGCAGAAATACTCCGCGGACCGCTTCATCAAGCTACGCCATGAGATTCAGGCATGTCACTGGGATGACAAGACTGCGAAGTGGAATATCACTGTGAAGAACCTCGCTACAGGAGAGGTGTTGCAGGATAAGGCAGACGTGCTTATCTCAGGGAGGGGCAATCTGAACACACCGTCTTGGCCTGAAATAGAGGGCTTCAAGACGTTCGAAGGCGAGGTCATGCATTCGGCAACCTGGAACCAAGACTACGACTTCGAGAACAAGCGAGTGGGTGTCATCGGTTCTGGCTCTTCCTCCATCCAAATCGTCCCCTCGCTGCAACGTCTACCGGGTACTCATATCAGTACCTTTGTGCGTAGTAAGACATGGATATCTCCTCCCTTCGGCCAGCAGCTATGGGACAAATACGGGTTCAATGGTTCAGCGATCCCCCAAGAACTTCGCGACCGTTTCGCAAGCGATCCAGAATACTACCACAAATTCAGGCTTTCGGTTGAAGAAGATGGGAATGGTATCCACGCTGTAACCATGAAAGGTACCGAATTACAGAAGGGCGCAAAGGACATGTTCCATGAGCACATGAAGGAGAGGCTAAAGACCAAGCCTGAGATCTTCGAAGCACTCTTACCCTCCTTCTCACCCGGATGCCGTCGGTTGACGCCGGGTCCAGGCTATCTCGAAGCCCTGACACAGCCCAATGTCGATTTCATCACATCACCCATAACACGCATTTCCGCATCCGCAATCCACACCGCCGACGGCAAGACGCACGAAGTCGACGCTCTCGTCTGCGCCACAGGCTTCAAAGCCTCAGCCCCACCGCCCTTCCCCTTAACCGGCAGCAACGGCTTACCACTCACGAAGAAGTGGGAAAACCGCGCAGTAAACTACCTCTCCCACTCCGTCTCTGGCTTCCCCAACCTCTTCACCATGCTCGGTCCCAACGCGGCCATAGGCTCCGGCAGCCTAACCTGCATGATCGAAACGGTAGGCGACTACATCATCAAAGCCATCCGCAAGATCCAAAAAGAAAACATCGCGGCCATGGTTGTCAAGGAAGCGCGTGAAAAGGACTTTATCGAGTACGTTGACGCTTACTTCCAGGGCACCGTCTTCGCCGACGAATGCAGGAGTTGGTATAAGAATAAGGGGACGGGCGAGGTTGTGGGGCTTTGGCCGGGAAGTACGCTGCACTGTGTTGAGACGATGAGGAGTCCGAGGTGGGAAGACTTTGAGTATGTTTATCTGGATGAACTGGAGGGGGGCAGTGATGGTACGGAGTTACATGGTGTGGGGAAGAAAGCGAATAGGTTGGCTTGGTTGGGGAATGGCTGGAGTAGTAAGCAGATGGAGGGGAAGGACTTGGCGTGGTATTTGTATCCTGAGTTTGTGGATAAGCCTGTTAGTCCGCTGCCGGAAAAGAAGGGGGCGTATGGGGTTAGGCCGTTTTCTTATTGAGGGAAGGTGGAGAGAGTGGTAGTTCCTTGACAACATTGACCCAGTCAACACTCGCACGTTTAACGAACATCAAGGTTGATCTTTTCTACGAACGACGATTACGGCAGGCGGCCCCACAATGCACATGAACCGCCA